CTAACAGCAGTGGTGAAGCAGTAGTACAATACTTCAGTGGTCAGACAGATGCCTCTCCAAAAGCATGTGGCTCGTTTGTTAGGATGAAGGATGACAACTCGAAGTTAGCTGCTGATTGTAATCAATGGCGCCATAAAACGTGGGGAAACTCTAATAAAGGACAAAACAGATATCGCGTCGTTGCTTTTGTCAATGGGAAATATCACTGGCTTTTGGAAGGGAGCTCAAGATGGGAATGTGACGACTTCAACTCCAATAGTGGAGAATATTTTGGATTGTCCACAGGTGACTTCTGGAGGGTTTTTGTTCGTTAAGGCCAAATACAATTACCAATTAAACAGTTCTCACTGTCTTGAAAAAAGTTCAACGGCTGACCTAGATCAGTGTCACGCTTTGTCGTTTTTTATCCTGTTGTTGCTAAATCAAGCCTCCAATGTTGAAATAGACTGTTATTTAAACGTCATAGATGAGCCTCAAGTCAACTTTTATTTAGTGTAACACATAAATACACAGACAAAAGAGAAACTAAACATCGAAAAATAAACCAAAAGTAATAACAACAAATAAATTAGAAAAATATATCTGTTGATTTTAAATTTGAATTTATGTGTGCAACCGTAATTGATGTTTCCTCTTATATCCTCACGATCCCTTTATGACGTGTTGGAACAAAAGATCAATCGTTGGATGACAATAGCGGCATCAAGAATGGGCCATATGATCCAAAATAGCACTCTGCAGGAAATACAAACACAGCATCGCTTGGGTTTGATTCAGTTTTTGAACTCTCAGGTGCTTGTTCACATTTTATGTAACAGCACATCATATTAGAAGTCATTCCCTTCCGTTTCACGGTAACACAACGTCACACAATGCAAAAGTATGTCAATGAACAAGAAAGGCCCATCAAAGAATCAGTGTCTCAAAATTCGCATCCATTTTGAATCAACTTAACTTCGTCCAAAAGATAGGCTAGAATAAAACAAACTAGGCTAGAACTATCGGGATAAAAACTATGTGCATTTTTTGGCATGTTGAAATGATGATACTTGAACCCCAATGCAACCGTAGTTTAGTAATCTGTAACGATTATTTCGGTAATGGTGAAAGGACCGAGTGGAGTCCAATTCGTATAGGTAATCACATGATAAAATACGAGATAGCTTATCATAATTAAGCAGAAGCAAAGCGAGCGCATCAAGTGCAAAAATAATTTAACAAACCGTGCGTTTGGTCAAAACAACCGTGTATGATCAAAACAATAATATACAATGATATCTTCAAATCTTTAAGGCGCAAGAAAGCTCACATTCCGGCTAAATAGGTCAAGGAATTGTTCAGTCTGTGTGCGAATCACTTTCAATGAAATAGAATCGTCGTTACCGAGGTTTAACCTTGTTTGTTTTTAATTTCGGCGTAGGATCGCTCGAGCAAAGTTTTAAGCCGGGTCGGCTGGTAATTTTCGATTTTCTTGGCAATTCCCTTCTCTAAACACCACTTTTTCCAAACCGACAACCAAAAAGCAGTGCTTTCAGCAGTATTTTCATTGTTAGAGCTGTTTTTCAGCTGCGGTGGCGAAAGAAAACCTACTAAAAACACCGGCCATTGTTTCGCTCGCAATTTTTCAAATTTTCAAATTTTGTTGC